TTCCCGTACATGAAGTTTTTCACGTGGAAATATTCCCAAACTGAAAATGTTTACTTATTTTCCTTGCGAAGGAACTCATGGGGGGGACTTGGACAATTTTCAGAATGTGCGGTAAGGAGAATCAGCTGCGGAGCCCTATATCGGTGGGGAGGAACATGGACGCCCTTCTCTACTCCACCGGATCCACACGGTCCTCGATGAAAATCGATTGTAAAATCGCCTGCCGTGATTTACCCTGAGTAACTTCCAGCTACCCGATAATTTCAAGGAATGACATTGAACACGTTTCAAGTAAAATTTCAAACTTAATATAAGCAATTTGTCAATGCTCCTACTACTATTGCCTTATCTGACCAATTAACATTATTTTCATGGAAATCCCTTCTAATACGAAATAAAACCAATTTCCGTCCGCTCTGACATGTTCTGTCCATCTGATCTTGATAATCCCTTGGAGAATTGACCCGGTGTTTCGGAATAAATAACTAGAACTTAAAAGCATTGGCTCATTATGCCAAAATCTTTTACCCATCTTACAGAGAGGTGCCGGAGGCAAGATAACGCTGCTATCTAGAAGGAATCAGAGCGAGTGAAACAGCCACTAAAAATGTTTTACAACGACCCTCCCGCGACAAGGTCGGTGAAATGTCAACATTGGCAGTCTTGCTTGAGCTTTTCAGTAAGATGCTCCATTATCAGCATAGCGTCTATCCGGACCCAAGAAGAGACATGAGGACGTGTTTGTGTGAGAAGGAAGTGGTTCAATTTATTCTGGATTCAAACGGAATAAGGGGTGAACAAAGGGGCGTGCACAATGAATAATTTCCCAGCGCAGAAAATTCCACTTAGTCTGACTGTTTCTGTAGACTCTCGAATGGCTGAATATTAATCTTAACGTCTGAATATTAATCTAATCCGTGAAACTTTGCGCTCGCATTCCTTAGCAACTGGGAATGCACCTTTCTGATATAGCACATTGAAGTGTGGCTTTTCCATTTTTTTCCTATGAAAAATTTTTTCAGTGGAATGTGACACCATCGGTATCATTTAAAAAATTTAAATGGCATCTTATTAATTTCAACTGCTTCCATCCAATCTGAGGAAGAGATTAAAAGTACCAAAAACTCCAAAATGAATGCAGGCCTGCCATTTGGCATTCACTAAAGCAAACAGTCATCCCCGGTGATTGCTTGATGACAGACTTGACCGCTCTTCGGAACCGTACTCCTTGGAGTGAAAAAAATGCATATAAATGAGGCAAGTCAGCTTATTTCATAGTAAAGTAGTTACCTGTCTTTCCAGATTTTTTTTCGCATGAAATAGGATATATTGACGTAGGCTCCCTATCTTCTTCTGGAGCGCTCCAGCAAAATTCATTCCTACGTTGATGAACTGTCAAGGTTTCGACCCTCTTCAAGCCTTTTCGCTCTTCTCCGCTTTAGGTAGAGCAGCGTCCCGAGCAAAAGAAATTATCCTTAATGAGTGATTCTTAACGCGTGCTGGTTGCAGAGAGACAGTGGAGTTCAACTCCTCGACACGCCGGGACATCACGATGCAATATGTGCCGAGCCATCCTGTCACGGCAGTGCCAACCTCGATATTTTATGAGGATGGATCAGAGCGAAAAACAGTCAAAGCAGAATGGGCACATATTTTAGAAACTAAGCTTGATTGTGACACGGAGTTGGCTCGGCACCGAACAAGTCCAAGTTTCTTCGTCTATATTCGAGATACACTGCACAGGGTGGCGCAAAAGTCGCGCACTATAGAGGATTTCACTGTTGCACTACCTTAATTCCTGTTTATTTATTTGCTGGTAAGTGATAGCTGAAAAATTAACAAATGAAGAGAGGGTGGGGTAAAGATATGTTTAAACATGTGTGCAGCGAGCACGTGTGCAGCGTTTGGCGTTACCTTTCCAAGGTAATGCCAAACGATTCGAACATTGACTGTAATTTCCCCTATGGTGCGCGACTTTTGTGCCACCCTGTATATAGATGTCTCTGGAGAGGCCTTCGCTGCCTTGAGACTTACAAACACTGAGCTAAGAAAAAGAACTGGAGATGGCGCGCCCATAGGAGTGGTATAGAGAAAACTGGGGCATTTTGACGCCATATTGGTTGGGAACAGAGAACACGCGTCGTCATTGACGCCTGCACAGCCGTCATGACCCGAATTCCGGTGACCCAACCGTCAATGGGTTTTCGAGTGAGAGAAAGAATCCGAACACTAACACATCGCGTCGGCCTGAGCCTCACCATTGCAATGGATATTCCATCTAAAGGAGAAGATACGCGTATATATAAAGTCGCTATCCCACCCCATTTCCGGGACACCGGGACAAAGGACTCCAAAGAAAATTCAAATTCATTGCAGTACACAAGGACCCGTGTCCATCCTATCCAAATGCAAGAAACTGGTATAGGGAAATGCAGCGGAGAAGAACTTCAATTGCCGATGTTCAAATGATAACGGCAGAAAAGAGCGATTGGGAAAAGGTTTAAGCAAAATACCTCGTGGTCACCTTTCATCTCCAATGTTTGTCTTCGAACGTTCACTTCGTCAAACGAACGTGAGTTCGTTCGACGTTCGTTTCACCGCTCTACGCAGCAGCCGTGGCAATGAAACATGCTTTTAATGAGTTACATTCATATTGAGGATCGATCGTGACCCTGTGTGTATCGTTCTTAAAGTCCATCTCCACCACTTTTCATGCAGGCCTATGAGTGAAAAATACGGTGGGAGAAACGGGATGTTTACGAAGCTGCCGACGTCGTCTTTCCTATCCAAGAGTAAGCGCTTCCGTTCCATACAGGTGGGATCCCGCCATTTTCAACCTAGGGAGTCACTCTCCTCATGAGTGCCGAAGACGGGGTTACGATCGATAAAGGGGTCGGTATCCCGATAAATATATGAGCGGAGATCTCAGACCGGCGAGGAAACCAATCTTAATTCAGAGATGAAAGAGGCTTCCAAGTGTAATACACAGGGAGGTATTAGTCCGTATCGGACCGCCCTGATTAGGGGGCGGGGTGTGTGCGTAGAATGCCCCCTCTCTCCCCTAGTAATGTTAGGGAGTCATGGAGAGGGACATCTAAAGGTCCTGTGCTCGATGATGTAGCACACCTAAACGTCAATCAGGAGACCTTGGGTTCAATTCCCTGCCCCTCCATCATTCCTTTTCCTCCTAATATGCAATCCGAACTCATCCACCACCCCCTCCCCGCTTGCTATTCTCAGTTCTCGAGAATAGATCCGACAGTCGCAACGGCTGGAAGAAAAAGCTAGCCCGAGAGAACGAGACGTACACCCAGAGGCAGGCAGAAGATTATTTGGGGAGAGCACATGCGATCACGCTGTGCGCATGCGTGTCATATGGGTGCGCGCGCACATGCCACCGACCACCACAACCACCACCACCACTGACCACAGTAGATTTTATTACATAAGTTCTCCCAATCAAGCTGACGTGCAGCGAGGCACAGAAACAATGCATAGTACTCTCAGACCATTGGACGTAATATGATCAATAGGCAACACCATAAACTTCAGTAAACGCGTGAGTACAAGACTCGACAAGCACAGACAAAAATAATCGTTAACACGGATAAGTCCCGACCAAAGGCTATACGATCTGACGATGACACGCTTACTCTTTACGTCGTGATCACAGACAGGTCAAACGGGAAACAAGATACGAAAACGGAATATGGTATGACAAACATCATGAAATGAGGTTGAAATGAAAGAGAAAGAATTCATTTAAGAGATTTTTGCTTAAATTCTGTAATAATTGCCAAGTAAGACATGCAAAATCTGATATTTCACCTTATTCAGCGACCATTTCCAGAAATATCTGAGTGTCTTCCATTGGCAATTCTTATATTGGGATAATGGACAGGGACATTCCTCAGTCGAGAGCATTTGCTCACAAGTTCGAATGTGGGAGAAATGCCCAAAAAGGTGACCAAATTTGGTGTCAAACTGTAAGTTCTGTTCTAAATGTATCGTGCAACTCTTAAATGAAACATGTTCAAGCGATCGAAAGGATTCACCGCGGCATCCAACACTTATACCAGACACAGATTATCAGTTGAACAACAAAAAAAATAAAAAGACTGCGTCATTGGTAAGTCGCATTGACACATGATCAAAGAAGTTCTGAAATATCCAGACCGACAGCTGGATTGGATGCCTGGGTATGCCTACCAAGAGGCCCAACTATGGGATAATATCCAAACTTCCGCAGAAAAGGGGAACATCCTCCCTCATTTGCCCCGGGTCACTTCGCCTCACCTATGGCAGCAATCCTGCTGGTTTCGATTTAGATTCGATGTCCTTTCGATCGAAAGAATACCTTTTTTCTCTCGAAGTAAAGGGGACCGGTGAATGAATTTTAAGAGCAAAATAGGAGCAACAATGTCTTACTCGGGTCGAGTCGAGGGTCCAAAGAAAATTCGGTGAAAGGACGTGATGAAAGCATTCAATTATATTCCTAACGATCAATACGTGTCTTGTTCTATGTGCGCCAATGAAGATGGGCGGTGATGTGCAATAGGTGAATTCGAGGCTGAGGAACACACTGCATTGTTTTGATTCTAACCAGCATCAGTGATAATAATTGGTGAAAGAATTTGTGAGGAACTACAAACTTTTCACTGAATGTACCTATTTCTAAATCTTTCGCCCATTTCCTCGAAGGAAATACACGAAAGTAGTTTTGTGTCCATTTGAGCGAATATCCAAAAAAATCCAAATGAAAACCAATGAGCAAGAGATTTCACCAAGGCACCCCAAGATCCAACCCAAGATAATTACGAAAAGCGAAATCTGACAATCAAAGAATAACGGAGTTACATAACCGTTCTCGGAACTTATTGACCACACCAAGCAAGTATGCGCATATTTTTCGTAATTATTGGTGAATGAAAATCAGTTCCCCAGTTATGATGCAGCTGGCTCAATTGTATGGAATGCCTTTTTTCGGAGCATCGAACGTTTTAGCAAGGCTTCACTTCGCAGTAGTCAATTGAGGGATTCGTTCCATCTCCATTAAAACACCAAGGCCCACCAACGTCTCCATTAGGATTCCGGCAAAAGTTGTGAGAAGGATGCAAGTCGTCCGGGAATAAACCAGCAACTTCGTAGAAACTCGAAGACGGGTCGTGATCGTTCGGCGAACGACTCATCCACAGCTGACAACGGTGACCCGATTTCGTGACATTCTTCGTTCCCATGTACTTGTCTCCCTTCCTGCCTTTTTTGCACTCCACCGGAGCTGGGAAAAAAAAATAAAAAGGTGGAATGGCGAAATGCAATATATGTAGACGTAAAACTTCATTTAAAAATGGTGAATACTCACTGACGCAAAGTCCCGAGACTCTAATATCGCACTTTTCTCCTTCCGTCTTGGGGCAATAAGGAACATCGCAATACTCCCACATTGACCCATCTTTAGATTCAATGAAACACCATGGACCGTGGACACTCCCGTCAGGGTTACGGCAGAAGTTGTGGCTCCCATCAACTTCATCTGAAAATGCGGAAAGGGTATTCCTTATGGCCTCGTGAGGTTCTGGTGACTGAGACAGCCAATGTTGACAAGGGGATCCGGATATGCTCGTATTTCGTCTTCCGACGTATTCTCCGCCTGTTCCTGTCAGCTTGCACTCGGGAGGATCTAAAAGATGAAATAACTGGCCTCAAGATGCGAAGCGGCCGATTTTGCCAAGTGTGAATGAAAGGACTCACCAAGGTGATGACAGAAGGGGATGTTGCAGTACTCCCACACGATGTCAGAGTCAAGGACAAAGCACCAAGGCCTTTCCCTGTACAAGGAAGGATTTCGGCAGTAATTCTTGTGCAATGTCGGGTCTTGATTGAGGAAGTGCTCAGCATAATCTATTTTAGAATTGTAGAAATCCCATGGCATGCCATACGGCTGCGATTCCCAATGGAGACAAGGCTTTCCTGTTTCAGTCACATCCTTCTTCCCCAAATATTCTTTCCCTTTTTCTGAAAGTCGGCATTCTGGATACACATTCCCCTCTTGTCCTTTAACATCTGGGAGGTGGCAGAAGGAAAGGTCGCAATGTTCCCATGGTGGAGATCCCCCTTTTCCATTGTAACAATAGGGGGAAGCGTCTCCATCGGGATTGCGGCAGAAATTGTAATGTTCATCAATCTCTTCGTAATCCGGGATTCCCGGAAAGTTCTCAGCCATTACAATTTGAGTGTAATTTTGTGGTTCTACGCTCCTCCAGGGTTGGCATGGGAATCCGGAATGGCTCACGTTCTTCCTTCCAATGTATTCACCGCCCTGTTGAGTCATCTTGCACTCCGGAGGGTCTGTTCATGAAACAATACATGCCACCCATTAAAACTCTTTTCTTCTCGGTCAAATGGTACCATTACTTGAAAGTTCCAAAAACCCGAAACGTTATTGTTAAAGCATCTATCAAACGGTAAGTTGGGCAGGCTTGTAAGGGGAAGTCATTCAAAAAACAGATTGCACTCCACGGCGTGGAACATTCAACCTTCTTCCAAATCCACCTCCCGTTCATCTGGTTGTTTATCTAGCATTGTGGCTTTGCAAGGGAGAGACCAAAGTTGCAGGCCGTGGCACCTTCGTCGGTCTGCCTGATTCGAGTGGTCCTCGGTGAAACATTTCTTATTCTTAAGGCCAAAACGTTGTCAGTAAGCGCCGTAGCAATTGCATTAGCAGAATTCTGTTCGTATTAAAGTTGATGGGGTGGTGTTGGTTACTGGGAAAATTTTGCACGAAATGGCTAATATTATCAAGATAGTATCAGCCACGGTTGATTGGTATGTGATACGGGTACGGAATTACTATAGAATAACTACCCTTATCCGTGCATATGGGAATATCGCAATATTCCCATTGGACATCTTTGTCCATGACGAAACACCATGGCCTCTCCTTTCCAGACGGGTTTCGACAGTAGTTCTTGTGAGACCAGGTATCCACGTTGGTGAAATGGCCAGAATACGTGATGTTCTCGAAAAAGTCATCGGGTGTCCCATAGGGCTTCTTGTCCCACCTCAGGCACTCTTTTCCTGATTCCGTCTTATTCACGCTCCCAATGTATTCTCTTCCCTTCTCTGTCAAACGGCATTCTGGGTACTTGTATAACTGCTCACCTGCAAATTAAAAATTACTGTGGGACAGCGACAACCAACGGAAACATGTGCAATGAGATAATTCCTTTTCCATTCGGACTTACTCGGCCATATTGATAATAAAAGTTTCCGTGCAATGTATAAGCAATCTTCCAAACGAATTAGCTCAATACCGTGAGATATTGGGGTAATTCCTTGAATCGGGCTAATTCGTGAAAGCTTGAGTGAATAACTCGTCAACAATTCCATTCGATATTATATTCCTCCTTGCATTAGAGGTTCGCTTCAAGGTCAAGAAATTTTCAAATTCAATTTAATTTTTGGGACTGCATGCGCACCGGAAAGGTTGGACACCTCATGGGGAATAGTGTTTTGTCTTACTGTCGAAGAACTTATCAATACATACTCGAAGTTTCAGAAGCTCTATCACCATTGCTTTCCAGTACGATTTAATTGTGCGATTTAATGTATTCTCTTCCCTTCTCTGTCAACCGGCACTCTGGGTAAGTATACACCTGCTCACCTGCAAATTAAAAACTATTGTGTTACATTCACAACATTGACAATATGATAATTTCAATTTCATTCGGTTTTACTTCGTTATATTTAGTTTACAAGTTTTTGTGAAACTGTGTTTTAACTGCACTTGCATATACGTTTCACTTGTAATTCACAATTTTTTACCTTCGTGGTACCTTTTACATCCGATTTACCGTCTCTTTTTACACATGATGTAGTGTTCACCTTATATGATTGGAGTAGCATTAACCCTGTCATGAATAAAATAAGTTGATGTTGTTCCAGACAATGTATAAAAGGTTCACTTACAAGAAAGTCCCATCATGAAATTGTTGCAAACATTTATTTTATTTATAATGTATATATAAACTTACGGTTTCGCAGTCTAATCATTATTCGGATTTCTGAATGCATTTTTGAATTATCCAATTCTTAGCTTCATAATCAAAACCCTATAGACCAAGAGCCTTAGCCTAACGTTAAAAAAGCAAGTAGCATGAAGGAAAATTTTCAGACGTAGCCAAGTAACTAATACTGGGTGAGACCGCCTTGGCATCATGACTATACTATAAAGAACCAAATGGGGAATAAATTTATTCCAACACGTTCCGCAAGGATGAAAAGACAAGAGTGAAAGTGTTACGGGCAACATTCTTTTCCTATTACACAAATTTCACATTAGTTACTCATCTCTTCGGAAGATCCTGCTTCGGGAGTAATCCTACTCCATGAGCTGAAGATAAAATCAGGGCTTCCCCTCTTTCCTCCCTTTTTATCTCTCCCTCTCGTTGTAAGATGGCTCCTCATGCAAACATTAAGTGATTACGCTGCGAACTAAGGAGGAATCAGGGGATGACATTTTTGCATGTGTACATGGTACGTAGTAGGAATCCAATGGACCCCTAGTACGTCCCATATACGCTGTTTACGTTACTAAAATCAATAAGGAATTTTTTCTACATTTAGAAATGTATCAAGTTGGTGATGTTCTGGCGTCAGGGTCTCCTCAACTTAAAAGAGAAATAATAAAAATGACAGGAAAATGTCTGCAATGGTTTGAATGCTATTTATAAAAATTGAGGCCTAGGGATCCAACGGACCCCTCTAGCTCAGATGACGGTTAAAACGCGGTAGGTGTCCCTACAATGGACTCCATCTTTCTGGAAGGATCTGCACCAAGAATCCGGCGATGCGAAGCAGCATCCAGCCGTGTGGAGGCGAGCGCCGTCGGAGAATCCTTTGGGATCGGCGCAGCGGAGCGTCACCGTCGCCCCCGCTTGAGCTGGATATTCCCCGTCCCAACCCTCGTATGATACCTCGGCGTTTTGGATGTTCGGATGCTCCGTCAGGCACAGTCCTGCATTTCAGAAAGACATTGCACTGCGTCTTATTCAGCACGACGACTTAACACGCTGTCTCTCACTCAAGAAAATGTTGCCTGATCGAATTCCCTTGTAGTCATACTGAATTGAAGGTGTTGTTTTAGGGTCTATTTCCAAACGCTGTTCTCTTCATTTCTTGGAATATCGTTTTGGACAGCGAATTACAGCTGTTCCAGTCAAATATACACAGATATGTACCGAATTCGACCAATTACCTCGCCCATAACCTTCGAAGACAGGCATCCCTTGTGGACGTCACAAAAAATTGATTTGTGAAGAATTTCACCAAAATTGTCAAGGAAAAAAGAGTGCGGATTTGGGCATTTCACACCCAGTCCTCTCTCGAAATTTCTCTCTCTCTCTAATTTCTCGAAAAATGTTTTACGGATTCATTAGGTTTACCCCAACCCATCAGAACCGGCGACTTTTCTTAGATATTTTCAGATGATGCGCGGTAAAATCGCTGGACTCACTCTGAGCGTAGGACCCGAATCCGTCGGCCCCTAAGAGGCCGCTTTTCCCACTGAGAATCAGCTCGCAAGAGCCGTCGGATTCCCGGTAGTTGAAGGCGTTGCAGGGGGGTGTCTGCTTCAAACACTTTCTGGCGCATGCAGCGAGCGTCGGTTCGCGGCTTCGTAAAGTCGCGTTTTCGTATCTCTGGCCGTGATGCGCGGCGTAATGGCGGATCGGATCGTTTGAGACGACACCGAGAGAAAGGAGAAGCAATAATTCCACCATGGCCATCGGCTTCTATGCAAGTGAGGCGAGAGAGACCCTCGTAATGCCATCTGGCCCGCAAGAAGAACTCGCATGAATTAGTCAGTGGGTTCAGCTGCTAATTGACAATTTTGTCGATGCTTCAAACTAATATTCGAGGCCCTGAATGAGTCCATTCCCTTCGGTACAAGGTCGCGAAAACTTAAAAAAATTAATTTTGTAGATGAGTCTGCGCTTTCTACTGTCCCTAACGAAAATGTCTTATTGAATTCCCTATATATTCCTTTAGGAATATATAGGAATCCAATAGGAATCCTATAGGTTCCTATAGGCCCCATAGAGTTCAGTTTGGAACCTATAGAGTTGCCTATAGAACCAATAGAGTTCCCTATAGAATCTATAGGGTTCCCTACAGAAACAAAAGGGTTCCCCACCCTTACGGAAATGTCCTATAGGAAACCTATGGTTATTTCTTATAGGATACCTATAGACTTTCCTATAGGTTTTTGAGACACG